ATACAAACGTTATATATAGCCTGTGGATTGTTATGAACTTGAATGTGTTGAGCAATGTGTCGTGCCCTTATAAACAAAAACCTGCCCACTATAATAAACATTTCTGAAGTGATTGAGGGGAAAAAATACTAAACACAAAAGCAAATACTTAAACTAAAAATGATATATCCATTTATTTTCATCCATTAATATTTTTTAATCTAAATGCCTACATCTCCCTCTGAATCTTTTTTGCCACTATGGAAGTTATTATTAAGCAAAGTTTAACTCAAAGCCAGTGGCCAGGGTGCAGGTTCAAGCAACTTTACCAAACCAAACCATGACGCACATTATATCAAGGCACTTCACAGAGTAAGGCCAAGCCCTCACATCATTCTAGAGAAACTCTACAGTGTTTTCAATATTAAAAAGCACATGGCCACAGTGGAGAAGAATCCTGAAATAGAACCAGAGTCAGTGTAGATGGATGAATCCTCATCAATGTCACCAAGACTAATATTTGTGTTAACTTGCAGCCCCGGTTCAGAGTGTATCAAAGATGAAGTCTCTCAAATATTATTATGGTGCACGACGTCCAACTGACCCCAGTGTTGATGGACTTTGAATCTACATGCATATGTTTGTGTTTATATGGGACACAGGACATGAGGAAATTAATGATGGCTGAATTCAGTTAAATATGCATACACACCAAGTGCTTCTCCAGACAGAACATGTTTACATGTGAAAACAACTGTGCATCATTCAGATCATTTGATCAGAACAGTGTCCTCCCACTGTTGATCTTTCTACCTTGTGCTTGGCCACATGAACAGAGTGAGAAGTCTTCTTGTTTTCAACAGCTCTGACTGGAAACCCTCCTCCCTTTCTTTAACCCTTTGTGTCTCTGTGCTTCAGTTTCAAGGTTTGACTTCTCAACAAAGCTCATTGAGAAGTGATTTGAAGTGAACTTGTCACCACTGGATAATGACTCCACTTTACCTGCAGGGTATTTATCAGCTATCATATCCATAATCTGATGTGCCCTGCAGAAATCCTCCTGTCAGCGTTGATATCAGATTATCAGACGTTCCTCAGCCCAGTTAGTCCTGATCAGCAGAGATGAAATTCTCACAGTAGAAATCGTATGTGCTGTAATTCATAAACAATCGATTATAAAACATGTTTTTTCGTAATACCCACACAACGTGAAGTCACAGTTCTAGGTTGCATGTCTTTGTGTGTTCAATAACATCAGGTAACAGATTCAGCATCAATGCATTTCAATTATGATTTTTCCTCCTGTAACCTACTCATCATTAATCGTTATTTATTATTCAATATAGTTCTTTATTATACTTTATTTACATATTTGCAGCTTTGTAAATATATCGCATGGCAACAAAACAAAACCAAGAAATACTCACACTACTAACAACTAACACATATTAAGAACAATAAACTGAAATATGTCAACAATATAGATACACACACACACACACACACACACACAGCGTAACTGAATACATATATATATACGTATATACATACTGATAACCGTTTGAACAGGATATAGAAAGTATCAATATGTAGTGTAAACAATAATATACACCCTGAAATGTCAATGTAAACAGAATATATACATTGTAAAGACAACATACAGAGAATGTAAACAGAATATATACACATTATATACAGCGTATACAGATATATACACATTATATACAGTGTGTACAGATATATACACATTATATACATTGTATACATATTATACACAGTGTAAACAGAATATATACAGTGTATACAGATATATACACATTATATACAGTGTATACAGATTAAATACAGTGTATACAGAATATATACAGTGTATACAGATATATACACATTAWATACAGTGTATACAKATTAWAYACAGTGTAWACAGAATATATACAGTGTATACAGATATATACACATTAAATACAGTGTATACAGATTAAATACAGTGTATACAGAATATATACAGTGTATACAGATATATACACATTAAATACAGTGTATACAGATATATACACATTAAATACAGTGTATGCAGAATATACACAGAGTAAACTTGATTGCACATATTATTGGTTAAACTTTAGTATGTGTACCTTCAGTGTGAACGTGAGGGTACAGTGTATAGCTGTATGATAACACACACCGTCACAGGATCGATCCCCTCCTCTCGGATGGAGGATGATTGACACTCTCCGCGGACCAATGTGGAAAATCAGTTGCACCCGTTCACCCCGCCCCCTCCCTCCGGGCTCGCAGTGCGCACGCGCGGCTCAGCTGTTTCGGCCTGTTCCGCGGCCGCTCGGTCATCTTCGCCTCTTTGTTTTACCGATAGTGGATTTAACTCGGATCCAGCCCGACATCCAGCGGACCGTGCTGCTCCCGAACAGGTCAGTGGGCGAGGGTGGACCCGTCCCCCCGCGTGTGTCCCCCCCCTCGGCGGGTCGCTGGTCGGTTTACGGTCCCGGTTCGAGCCCCCTCCTCCTGGTTTTTTCCCCCTCTCTTTCCGCTGGGTGCTACGGGGCATGCTATACGTGTTGGTGTGTGTGTCTGGGAGCTGGTGTATGGCGGCGCCGGGCCCTGCAGTTGCACACCGTGGATGGGGGGTTGTTCCAAGAGAGGAGGGGGGGAAAGTGCACCGTTGGTCCGGAGCTAGCCGGGTTAGCCTCCGCCGGAGAGGAGGCTCCGGCTGCCGCCTCTGTTGTCTCGTCATGTTTGAATGCTGTTGTTCCACCGTGTCTTCTCTCCCCCATTGAGCTGGAATGCTCTTGAGGCTGGAGGGGGGGTGGGGGGGAGAGAAGGGGACGCTCGTGGTCCTCCATTAGATTTGGGGCTGACCCTCCACCTCCTGCAGTGCAAAGTTTGTGCTCGGATCCACATGAGGTTTCCACAAAGTTGGTGCATTTTTGCTCCGGGTGGATGTCGTCCCTCGCCAGACTGCTGCTGCTGCTGCAGCAAGCTCTCTCTCTCTCTCTCTCTCTCTCTCTCTGTGTGTGTGACATTGTGGAGAAGGGGTGAGGGGGGGACATGCATGCAGAGAGCAGCCAACAAGTCTGTGCAGTTATTCAGGAGGAGGCTGCTGCTAAAATATCATCTGCACATGGAGCAACACGCTCCTGAGCGATGATGAAATTCACATTCAGGGCTTTCCTCAACTTTTTATTTACACCCCCACCCTCCCCTCCCCTCCAGTCCTCTCCAGGGACAGTGCATCCTGCAGGGAGCATGGTGGAGGTGAGCTGCAGGTCAAAAGATGGAGGTGTCTAGAAGTAGCTCTGCTCAAGGTGGTTGAAAAGTGACTCTCTACCTCTTTTCGAGAGCCCCACTGCAAACATCTGTCTCTTGTTAAGTCACTTTTGGCTGTAATTGACTCCTCGAAGTCTCGCTCCAGTTGTAAAAAAAATGCACTTATTGTTACCTCACTTGCAGCTTGACACAAAAGGCTGTTTTCACACTAATCTGCTGAGGAGGTAAAGTTTTCGTGAGTTCGTTCTGATTCTGTGCCTGCGTGGTTACGAGACGTTGCTTCGTTAGATGTTGGACAAAGTCTTGGTTCAACGTGAAGCTCTTAAAGTTGTGTGAAATCTGCAGCACACGTACAGAGAGTTGAACTTTTAGGTTAAGTAGGAGGTGAATGTGTGTGTCCTCAGAGGGTGTTTTTTTTTTTTAAATGTGGTAGATGTGGGTTTAAAGATGCATGTGTCTGTGTCTGCATGACACAAATAACACACAGCTTGACACAAAAACATCTTAAAATATCATAATTCAGTTAAAGTTTCTCCAAACAAATGTAAAAACTCTTAAACGTTCAGTTTAAGAGGACAAGGTGTTTAGGTCTTCATGAGATGGAGAGTTTCACTCTGTGGTTGAGTTTACATCATTAAAATGAAACTGACACATCACACAAATTTGTCTTTTCACCAACATGTAGGTCGGTTGAAACCTAGACGATCGGGCGTGTCTTGATCTGCAGATCATTAAACCTGTGTTTGTATACACTCTGCACCGCAGACATTTATACTTAGCTGTCTATTTGCTGCGTGGAAACCAAAGACTATGAATCATATTGGTATTGAATTCAAGCTATGGCGGTTACCGTACTGACATTAAAGTTGCCCTGGGCGTCTCCATCAAGTGCATGTCGGCAGTGGAAATCTGAACCTCTGTAACCTGCGTCCTTCTAATAAATAACTTTGTGATTTCGATGGTAAACACACACACACACACGCTGTGCAAGTGTTTCCTCTGCTTTTTTTCCAGCTTCAGTTGCCTCAAATCCTGTAACTGTGGACAGCTTGCTCGTGTTTTAGCACCAGAGTCGCCCTCTGACGCTTTTATGTATCAGACAGGAATGAGACATCGACGAGTCCTGGATGCTTCTTTTCACTTAAACGTAATGATTTTTTCCTCTTCCTTTTTTTAGAAAAGTGTATCAGCTGGAGACCAGAATCTAAATCTGTAGAGTCTCAGCCAGACGCCAGTGAAACCGTATTTTTTACGAAATGATGTCGGCTTCTGTTGCGGTAAACTGAACCTCATGTTTCTGGGTTCCGCCGGAACACCTCTCTGACCTGACTGAGCGTTCCTGACCAGCTGAACTGTGCTGATGTCGCACTCCGGAGATCACATATGATATGACCGTTGCATAAGTGTCCACATACTCTCCAAGCATCAGCTTTCTTGTCAGGTATCTCCTTGCTTTGCAGGGCAAGCGCAAATTTACTGCAAATGACCCTTGACCTGAGAATTAGCTTTTTTTTTTAACGTTATAGAAAGATTACTCTAACGAAAGGACATTTATTTCAATCCATTACCTCAGTACATGTTGTCCTGCTTTGTTTAAACAATGTTGATGGTCTGATAAGTGTAAACAGAACAGGACAGACGAGCAGGATATGGCCTCCTAAGAACCTGCACTGCTTCATATTGAAAAAAAACTCGCTGCGAACTGAAGAGCCAGATGATCCAGATGATGCATTTCTCTCTCTTTTTTTTAGACAGGAAATTATCTTAGGCAACTTCCTATATGCGAGGAGGCTGAGAAACTGCCTATGATTCAAGCTGCAGCTCGGAGAAGCAGTGGTCTCACTTACTCCTCCTTATCACAGACTCTTAAAACATTTGATAAGATAAGATTCTGCAGAGATGAACGATCCCCACATTGGTACAGCTCAGCCAAAAGGATATAGAACAGGTCTGTGTGGATTCTCTCATGTTAGAACCAGATAGATGTTATTGATCTACAGGTTTGAGTGAGATGATGAGAAACACTGGTTCATCCAGTTTGAATTCAATCTCCATTGGTTCGTAGGTGTCTCACCTGTCACAACTCTACTCACAGATTTATGATTTTACAACTTTCAAGTCTTCACAGCAGTCGCTTTATTCTCAATCAAGATTTGCACAGTTGCTTGCTTGAAATGTCAATTTAAACTTTGCTCAAATTTGGTTTGAAAGTTTTACTTTTCGCCACTGCAGGAGAGTCGAATACCTAACGAGCTGCCGGTGGACTATAGGTTTACTAGTTAGGACAAGGATGAACAACCCTGAGAGCAAAATGCAAAGCAGATAAATGTCACAAAGACTTTTTCAACTAAATGCGGCACAAATCTTAACAACATTTAACCACAAGTTAATAGAAAATGCAGATTAATCAACGTTTCCATGTCGTATTTCAGATATTAGGAGTTGGTTTTGCTGCGCAAAAGACGAATGTTTAAATTTGTGCTTTGTTGCATTTTGCTTTTATCAAAACACCAACGTTTCCCTGTCAGCCGACCGTGAGAGTTATTGTAATATTTCAAAGCTTTTCTGCTTAATTCAGAGAATTAGTCACAGAATTGTTCCCGCTCTCAAGCAGCGTTTAGCTCAATGAGCAAAAAAACTATTAACTGAAGCAAGCAGTAATGGATCCTCCAATGAAGTCTTAATAGGTTAGAAGTACTAATCAAAGCAGTATTAAGACCACAGAACAAACAAGAACACTCTGTTGTGGAACCAAGTTTATTGCAACTCTCAGAAGCATCATTTAAAAGGTTTGGTGAACAAAATGGATTTATTTATCTGAGCTAGAATCTAGACTGTGGGACAGAAATACCCTTCACCGAAGAAGCGAAGGGTAACAAGGATGTATGAATTAGACTCTTCAGCAGTGCAGTGGAAACCCTCTTAAGCCTGAATATAGATGTTCAATAAAGTAAAGTTTAAAACAGAGGACAAACAAATACACATGAAATAGTTGTCGATGAATGTCCCTGTGTCAGGTGGGGCTGCTCTGGCTGCTCTGGCTGCTCTGGTAAAATTCACGGCCTCTGCTTTCGCCAATTGTGTCTGTTTTGTGTCAACATCTTGGAGGTTGTCAACAGGTTGTTTGAATTCAAACGGTTCCACCTGTCTTTGTGTCAACATTACAAACACCCACCGACGGAGGCTGAGCTGGATTCAGGTGGAGAAAACGCCAGAAAACAAGATGCATGGATTCTTTGTTTTCATTGAGTCTCGATGAGGCGTTTATCACTCATTTATCTGTGTTTAGCCACATGATTTGAGTCGCTCTTGTATTGTGAGGTTGTTTGTTGTGTTGTGCGTTGGAAGGTTCATGAATGAGCTGTGCATCTCCCAGGCTCACTTGTTAGTTGAGGCAATTAAATGAGGACAGGAAGACGGTGCACTTAAAGTGAACGGATGCTGAAAGCTGCTCCGGAGGGGGTTTCTCTTTTAGGGCTTTCATGTGATGTAACCTTTTTCCTGCCGACCGTGTCCGAGGTGTTCAGTTGCTGCTGATGTCTCTAAAACGGTGCCTTCGCTTTCTCCGCTGCGAGTTCCACATGTTGACGGCCTCATTTGTGACACAACGGATCACTGTCAGCCTTATCGCATGGAGAGCTGAAACAAGCAATCAAGCATTTCAGTTAGTTGACAGGAAATGAATGTGCCACAATTCTGATAGTGAATTGTTTAACAACGTTTTTCAAACTAATAGAGCGGAACATTCAAAGTTTTTAGTTTCTCAAATGCAAATATTGGGAGTTACTCCAGTTTTAAACATGCGTTTGTACTTAATAAAATAAAAATATTGATGATTAGATCAATATTTTGTCTCTACAAGTGCTTTACAGTTGTATTTGTTGAGTCACTAAAGTTTCTGAGGTCACGCAAGTTTTTTAACGGATTTTTCTTTGTTTTACATCCTTAGTTAGTTCTGCCATCCCGGAGCAGAGTTAATTATAAGACCGTGCTTTTTGATATATTTTGTTTTAACAGTGTAGGAGCTAGCTGCCCACTCAGCTTTCAGTTGAATGATGGTCGCTGGCATGAAATAAGATTTGTGAGGGAGAACTCTAAGTGACTTTAAAGATTTCCTTTGTATTTCACCAACACGCCTCCGCTG